GCGTGCAGCATGCTAAGTTTCCCCAACAGACTACGAGAATTCTAATAGTGCAAAGAAAACGAGTGGATTAGTTTTTTGGAGGACTGGTTGAGGGAATCAGAGGCACTCCAGTCCGAGGGTTACTCTTGTAAAGAAATTCATGAACAATAGCATGTTTGGGCCATACGGAAGTATCAAAAACCTTATTATATAACGCGTCAGAAAGTACAATGGAAATAGGCCTGGAAACTAGAGGAAAAATATGTATCTGCACAGACTCATTTGCGACTATTGAAGCCATAAAAAATATATATATATATATGGTACCAAAATATAAACAAAGATGGTCTTAATATTGCTGGCTACACAAAAAACGCAGCATTTACCAAATCCCACGAATCGAGCGAATAAAACTCACAAGATTACGTCTTGGATATACTAAATTAACCCATGCAAACAAGTTTTTACAGCCACCGTCAAACCTATGCCAATTTAGCAATATCACAGACGCTACAATTGAGCACACACTAAACGAATGCCCAGCCTTCCACAACCTCCGAGTCCCAACCACCTACTTCCTCCCACTCCTCAGCAACCCAACACCCGACAACATTACAACAGTTCTTTCTTTCCTAAAAAAGGCCAATATACTTCATAAATTATAAATGTACAGATATATATTACTTTATGCATTATCTATTTAGTAAATTGCAATTCAAGTACAAAATATATAAATATAAATAGATCGTGAATAATGTGATATTGACACTCATCCTGTAGCTTAATTTGTAATTAAGTATACAGTGTTCAAATAAATAAATGTAACGCGTCTAAACGTGCAATTTTAAATTCTTTTCTTTTTTTTTTTTTTTGAAACGATTTTATTTACAATCTGTCTATATTTAAGACAATAAGCAAATTTTTTAACAATCACATTGACAGGAATAGAAAGCTTTCAATAAAGCTTACTATTATATTACATACTATTTATAGTTTTACAAATACTGGAGATCGAGGACATGTTTTCTTTTAAGCCTTCTAATTTCTGAGCTATTATTTGCAAGATTAATTGCTAAAGTATTTGTATGGCTTTGTAATTTGTTTACATATGCTATACTGTGTTTTCTTATTACATCTTTTACAAATGGGATATTCAGGTCATTATGGATGTTTACATTTGTCACATAAAAAGGAGCATTTACAATTTTTCTTAACATTTTTGATTGGAATCGCTGGAGGATCTCTATATTTGAGGTACTGGCTTTATATAGCAGTATTTTGTTCTCTATGCTGACTTGAGAATTTCGACCCAGTAACCAGGTCATTTTGTTAGCTTTTATAGTTAGCTGTTGTCTCTTTGCCTTTATGTGATTCTTCCATGTAAGCCTGCGATCAAAGTGCATGCCAAGATATTTAACTGTGTCACTTTGTGGAATAGGTGAGTTATTGAGTCTCACTTCTGGGCAGTTTCCAGCTCTTAAAGTAAATGTTATCTGTACAGACTTAAGCGGATTTACTTTTATTTTCCATCGCTGAAACCACTCATCAATAAGGTCGAGCTCGTGTTGTAGGTATACAGATGCTTCTTCCCTAAGGGAGCTATTTGCTATGATGGCTGTGTCGTCTGCGTAGGTTGCTACTCTTACATTATTTGCAATCAGCATGTCCGCAGTGAATAGTGTATATAATACAGGACCTAGGACGCTACCTTGTGGGACGCCAGCATTTATGTCTACTATTGAAGAAGCCTCCTCTCTTTGCTGAACGTAGAAGCGGCGTTTATCGAGATACGATTTAAGCAGCAAATAGTATGGTGCAGGCAACCATTTTTTTATTTTATATAGTAGGCCTTTGTGCCATACTCTATCAAACGCTTGCTGGACATCGAGAAATGCTGTGGTGCAGTATTCCTTACACGTAATTTTAAATGAAGAAATAAATGTTGCTCAATTTAATAGCGACGTCTTTCTCAGATGCATAAATATTAAGGCGAGAGACAAAAACTAGGCTTTTTGGGGCAACGCCAGCAAAAGCTACCGGACTCCTTTGGGCAACTCCAGAGATCGTTGAATGGTGTGGTCTGAGGCTATAAATTGGAGGAGATGCGATAGTGACCGCCGACCCAATCGCAGAGTAAGCATCCTTCAGTTGGCTCGAGGCCAGCAAGGTTTTGCTTGCGTCAGCAGCATGCGACGTAGATGCCTGTTCCACGTTGACTGGCTGCAAGGTCGGAGATGCGACGATATCGGCTAGTCCAGAGCAAAGGGCAGCGTTCAGTACTTGACCAGACGCAGCGACATCGGCGGCTGAGTCATCGGCAACACCCGCGGTATCACCATTGGGTGGGTTGCGAGGGCTGAACAGCAAAAGGGAACTCGCAGGGTCTGCAACATGCAAGAGATTATTAAAAATAGTTCCCGTTTTGATATTTGGTGTGACGCTTATCAGTTTCATCGTTTTGAAGAAAGATTCCGTTTTCTGGAAACGGCTTGCTAAAGCCAAATGGGCTTGTCTCATAAGAATCCGCATTTCAGATATAATATGTAGGCAGCTCGGGCAGGTCCAGTCCAAGCCAGCGTGATCCCGTATGCGATCAGCGATGCGCGGGCCACAGCCAGTGTGTGCGGCGTTGGTGCACAGCCAACAATAAACAGTGGCTAGCCTCAAAGTAATTTTGCAGCCATGTGGACAATCCGTGACACAACAGGTTGACATTATGTTGAATTATTGATAAATCGCAATAAGCACTTGAAAGTAAAAGAAAGGCAATTAAATTGTGTGGCGAAGGAACCGATCAAAACAGAAACAGAGCGAGAGAAAAATATAAGCTTTTATCTCAGTTCAAGAAGATATGAGTTTGTGTGATTGTTCGCGGTATGCAGATCACTTGCAGCAACAAAGACACTGAAACCGATGCAGCAGTAAGCGGTTAACGCACAGCACAAGAAAACGAGAGCAAAAGACTATTTTTCGCCGATTTTGTTTTCGGAAATTAAAGTCATTGTCTTTATATGAGATGATCCAGATGTTTTGGGTAAATAAAGATCGCCGAAACACTGATCACTTGCTAAAAATGTCGGCTTTTTAGAATTAATTTTCAACTATTCGACTATTAATGGTTCGATAGCATGTCCAAGTATATCCGTGTGTTGAGAATTGTATTACGTGCAAAATGTCAAAGTCTTCTTCGTTCAAAGTTAAAGTAAGTCTTCATCCAATACCAAAAGTAAATATGTACACCTTTGCACACAATTCACATAGACATAACTGGAAAGTTGAGTGACAAGATTGATCAGAACGAGTACATTATTACATCATTTACTAAATTTGTCTTAAAATTGATGCTGAAAATTTCATAAATGCTGTCAAGTCGGCTATTTCCCAATTTAGAGTACCAAATCGCCTGATAAGGCAGGTGTTTCGCCAACACTAGATTTAGTGAGTTTTTTTCACAACAAAAAATTAATTTGCATTTGATTGTGACAAGTGCAAGTAGAGTAAATGGACAAGTTGAAAACACCTTAAAGAACTTATTAACGGCCGTTGCAACTAGCAATCGATCTTGGCAAGGTGCATTAGGTGAAGTTCAATTAGCTTAGAACAGAACGGTCAGTCGAGTGACAAAGGCAAGCCCCTTAGAATGGTTTATTGGCAAAGTTGTCCGCCCGTTGGGGTTGCTTCCACCCTACGATATGGTAGAAGAGGTCGACTTGGCAGAAGTGGGAGCACGAACAGGTCAAAATATTTCAGCAGCATATAACAAGGTGCAATTTGATAAAAACAAGGCTAAAGTTGTTAGATGCAAAGTTGGAGATTTCATGTTGTCCAAATTGTGGGGGCCGTTTTAACTGAATTGTTATAGGGGGATAGATATCATACCAGTTGAATTTGAAAGTTGTAATAAGGATTTAAATAACAAATTTGAAAAAGACACTTTTGAAAGAGACAGTTATGAAATCATGTGAAAAGAAATCGTTGAAAGAGACAGCACAGGTGCCTTAAGGGCTGATGATGAAATTTTTAATAATAATGTTGGTAGAAGTGCAAAACAATTGTTTGGATAATATATAACATAATGTAAATCCTGAATGGTTCATGATAATGAACCAGAAATATGAAGATATAATTTGTAATAAAAATCGTAAGTTTAGATGGAAAATTAGAAATTATATTTGAATAAACTGTAATAAGTTTGATTGAATTGTAACAAAGCATTTTTTGTAAATTGCACGAGGTGGTGTAATGGTCAGGATGGCCGTGTCGGCGCACACTAAAAGTGTGTGGACCTTAGTATGAGTTTATGGGTATACAGTCCCAGGAATTTTACCAGGAGACTAATTTCATAGTTATAGGAGTATTGCATCAGCCTCTAATTGGGTCATGATTGGTTGTCTGTATATTGTCGCTTTAAGAAGTGTCGTTTTAACAGGGCGACAGCGTAGTGTCGATGTCGCAGAGTATGGTTCGGTGTTAAGCATAGAAAGAAGGGACGACGCAGGTATTTGTGTTTAGAATTTCGTGTGTGCGTAACAGAAACTCGCTGTGCCACTACAACAAAATAAAAAAAAAAACTCTATAAATATCAATGTATTATTATAACGTTATGAATATATAAAAAGGCATACATTATATGAAATTTTTATAAAAAAAAAAAACAGGGAACTGTAAAAGCTGAAATCGACTTACCACCACTAAACATTATATCAGAAGCAAGACTACCTGAAGACGTTTCGCCTATCAGTTATGAAATCAACATAAAACCAAATGTGGAAAATCAAACTTTCAAAGGATGTATTGAAATTTACTTAAGATGGATTATCGACTCCAAAAAGGTGCATTTTCATGCACACGAAAGTTTATTTATTGATAATAGTGTGATTAAACTAACAAAATATAGATCCAAAACTAAGTAAGTACTTCTTTGAATTACTAAACCAAAATAAATATATCACATATTTTATAAACTAGGGTGACTTCCGAAAATGTAACAATTTTAAGAAGTAGAAGACTACCACGGAGTGCCATATTTGTATTGTACCTCAATGAGACAGTGGAACAGGATTCTGAATGCAGACTAAAATTTATTTTGAAGGAAACATATTAAATGTACCGGAAGGACTCTATAGAGGATATTATAAGAATTATTTAAATAATGAGGAAGAAATATATTTAGCCACAAACATGAAGCCCAACCACGCTCGGCGATTATTTCCCTGCTTCGATGAACCCGGAATAAAGGTTATATATGTTAAATAATATCAATACATATTTTTATGTTATTTTATAATTGGTTATTATATATTTAGGTTCCGTTTAAGGTATCCATTGCCAGACCTAGGAAATATATAACTATTTTCAACTCGAAATTGCATCACACAGTTCAAGAGTATGTATCCAAATTGTACCAACTTAATCCCTTGATCACACTATGATCATTAACTTGAAACATCCTTACTGAGAGTAGGCCTTGTTATACCAATTATGCCCATAGCCTAGTATAATTAAAGTCAGCAGTGAGCATTTTAGTTATATTCGACCTTGTGAAGTACATCTAATTTTCTGCGGCCTTGCCGATGTACCCATATCTGTCCCGCCCGCGTTGCAGCATAGTCAATTTAGTCATGTCCGTCCGTTTCCCCGTTCCTCAGTTTTAAAATAAAGCTTTTCAGTCTCTTATAAATTCTCATTAGTATATAAAACGGATAGAAGCTCTGACCATAGGAACAATTGAAACATTTTTAGAAAAAAAATAATCATACTTTCCCGGTTTTTAACATACTTTAATCTACTTCGAGGCATGATTATTTTGTGTTATTGGAGAATTTAACATAGGTTTTCATTTAATGAGAAAACGAATTACTCTATCAAATAGCTACCATAAAAGTGATCGAAAAATTAATGGAAAACTAGAAAGGAAGCTAAGTTCGGCTGACTGAAGTTTATATAACCTTACTTTTTACAATTGGATCATAAAGAATTAATCGAATTTAATTAAATGAAAAGAAAATCGAACAAAAAATTTAAAAGTTAACGTAAGCTAACATAAGTCAACGAACTAGACCCCGACTTTTGTTTGTTACTCCGGGAAAAATATCTGATGCAGACTTAGCCGTAACCTGCATATTTCCGTGGCCGCTGTGAGTCTTTTGTTAGCTATAAGTTCATTTTTAATTCAGTTTGTCTTAATATCCAGTATAAAGAGCACTGCTCATTCAAAAGGAGGCTTTGGCAATTGATCGCTATCTGAGTCCTTAGGCTAGAAGTTAGAAGAAGGACAGTCGTCCTCCCAACTAATCTTCATATCTCATCAATAAAAGTTACCTCTGCACTCTGCATACGGTCCCCTGCGTGGGACATCTGAAGCATTTAATAATTACACCTAAAGGATTAATTAATTGGCGTCCAACATATGCAAACACACGGAAGATAAAAGAAAAAGTGAAAACTGAAAAAAGCCAAACCAGAAAATAGTGACCAATATTTTTTCAAAACTAATTCACAAACACATTGTGGAGAGAATGTAAGTGGGTGGATATCAATGGTCAAGTTTTTGTTGGATCAACAACAATTTTTTGGCAAGCATTAGTGCAATAAAAAAAAAAGTTAGTGTAAAAAAAAATGTAGTTTTTTTTTGTTGTTTTTCCTTTAAGGGACTTGGTTAAAATCTGTGCTGCAACTAATATTCATTTTGGCATATCGATAACATACCCTCAATTAAAATAACAGCCGAGATAATTATGGAAATTTTAATTTTCATATTTGTGGTTGTTTTTGCCAATACATATTTCTACTTTATAAATTTTGTTATACTTTACATGCGCTCCGCGGCGGTACTTCCTCGCAATCCCTTGCCCACTACAAGATTACGTCCGCATATACGCTGATAATAAATCGCCTAGATTTACCTTACTGTGACAAGCGGCCAATGCATGATCTTTAACAGGAGCTATGTATCCTAAGATAGGTGACATGCAGTTGCACTACTTTTTTGATGAATTGGAGAACAAATTCAACATGTCATACGGGGCATCAGTGGATAAAATTTTATGTGACAAATTTCGTGAAGACGCCCTATGCTCTATGTTCCGTTTAAGGTATCCATTGCCAGACCTAGGAAATATGTAACTATTTTCAACTCCAACTTGCAACAAAAACAGCTTCTGTTAGCTATGGATCTACCATCATCCTCCTGGTTGTAATAATAGGCATGGCCACAGAACTCCGACGAAAATGTAAACAGACGGAAAGAACAGGAAAAACAGGAACAGGAAAAGCCTACACAACCCGGACCGGTACTCTTTTACTTTGCGACCGAAGACAGTCGCGTTTAAGGAGGGGAGAGATAACAAACTAGACTCCACAATCGTTGAAGAAGATGCAAGCTCAGTACATATGGTGCAACTGGGTGAAGAAACTAGAAATTCAATCTACTACCAACTCAGGAAACTCCCGGATTAGTGTTCCCACGATCGCTACCCAAAAAGATGCAAGCTCAGCGCATGTGGCTTACCTTATCTAGGGCATCTGACAATGCATTAACCAATTGTAATTAGAAGCGGTCAATAGTTACAAATCGTCTTAAGCAGCTAATGAGAACAAAGAACGTAAAAAGTACCGTCGGCAGCAGGGACGGCGACAACGATGGAAGAACAAGTAGCCTAAATAAAAGATTGTAAAGCTTAAGCGTATTCAGTTTTTTATCCAACTCAATTCAATAAAGATTATTTTTCTTATTAAAAAATAACTAATAATCTTTATCTTATATATATTGTCATACCTCTGTAAAGAAAACCATAAGGTATAGGAACATCCAATTAGAAATAAACCTGAATATCGTCATCTAATTTTTACACCCATACATCCCACAAAGTAAACCTTTGGCAAGCTCTCGCGATCACTGACCCATAGGGATCCAAATAGCCGGAGAACTCATTTCTAAGAACACAAAACCAAAAGTTCTCAGCGGAATTGCGGTCACCAGCTCGCTTATACAGCCTGCAATTTTTTTTTATTTAAACATATAAAATTAATTTACGTTGATCAACTAACTTGAGACTTTGTTTACATTGAGGACGAAGAGCCATGAAAACATAATAGGAAAAGGAAATATCAGTTTTAATGACATGTAAACAACAAAGAAGAGATTACAATATAAAGACACGAGAAATGTGTCGTCCTCTTGTTCAAAGGTCGCCGTGATGACTTTTCTTGAGTCGCCATTTGATCGTCGAGTTGACCAATGATGCTGCTAGCTGGTTTGTATGTGCTGCGAGGCGTTCATTATACCGACCTGAGTGGTGGTTAATTTGCCCCAGTAGGTATGTGTAGGTCGCTTCCATGAAGCAATTGTAACGATACGCAGCGCTCGGTTTTGGAAACGTTGAACCCTCATGACGTTGGTGTCAAAAGCCATGCCCCATAATTCGAGCAATTTGTTCTCAAGGCTGAGCTTGCTAGAAGACTTTTAGCAGCCAGTTAAGCTTCTTAATTTTAGAACGGCATGTAGCTGCGATCTTTATTGTATGATGCTTCTAAGTGGGCCGCTTGTCCAAGATCGAACTATTAACCTTGAGGTGATTGTGGAATAGAGACGTTGTGCAGATTGAACGTGGGACACAGTGTGTCCGACACACCAGTACTCTCAAACTGAAGTTGCAGTGCAGTAATTTCTCCTGTTCAGGATTTTTGAGTCCGCCTGAATTCTAAACTGGACTTTATCTATAATATTTTGTGCACGGTGAATAAAGCCAGAGATTAACGTGGATTTTTTAAACATTGGAACACCTTGTTTAGCAGGGCGATCCTGCCCACAAAGATTCCTTATCGGAGGCCAAATATTTCCAACGTCGCTGTCGAATAATTAACCCGTCAGGGTTGAAAATGCAAAGGCGGGAACGTCGTTGATATTTCAGCGTCAGCTTTTATTCGCTGCTTACATAAGACTAAAACATAACTTAGAACCGGTCGCTTTGCCTCGTTAAAGCGTGAGCGGGAGATCGGCAATAATTGGAGTGCGAGAGCAAGCCGGGGACAGAAAGCTCGCTCCTGAACAGAGGCGGCTCAGTGGGCCCCTCACGTAAACATCCTGCCTCCCCTTACAATCGCTCGGGTTGCAACAGGGTCGTTTCAGCTATGGCTGATGGCAGGCTTCAGACACAACCCAACCGAAGACGGTGCTTTGGGCCACTGGCAGTCCATCCTGGATCTGCAGAAAGCCGGGCCGCATCACTCCCGAGAACTTATCCGCGCCTAGGACCACGGAGATGGGCGCCGGTAGATAGAACCGCTCGTCGGCCAGGGTGATGTCGCGGAAGTGGGCCCGCACCGTCTCGCTTAGCTCCCGGATTGGAGTGCGGATGCGCACGTGAGGCTCCACACTGAATACCACGTCGAAACGGACATCCCTTTCCGTCTTGGAGCCCACAGTGGCCGAACTAATTTGCTCACTGCCAAAGTTAGTGGTGGGTAGACGGAAGCTAGCTGCCAGCGACGCGTCGATGCAGCTCGTAGGCGTGCACGGGTCGATGAGCGCGGACGTGTCGAAGGTGCGCGGTACGTTTTCAATCCGTACCAGCGCGGTAGGAAGGACATTGACGCTGTGTCGCTGCAGCAGCGGGCGCCCCTGGCAAATGGTGGACGGTTGCCTTTGCGCGATGGACGCTGGTGTACGGGCGGGGGTCGGCCGTCGAGTGGCGGAGGGCGTCCGGGGAGCGGCTGCAGATTGCCGAGAAGGAGGCGACGGTGTCCCGAGGCCGGCGAGCATTCTGCCGCAGCCGGCGCGGAGCCAGTGGTCGCTCGGATAGGTGAAGCAGAGTCTTATGGTCCTGGCCACACGTTTTGCAGCAGTCCCCTCGCCGACACGCTCCGTCACAATGCTCGTGGGTCAAACAGCTGGGACAGTACTTATTAGCGAGGACCGCCCGTAGCCGCTTCTCAGCACTCAGGCGCAGAAAACAAAGGCATTTTCATAGTGGGTGGATCCCCCTGCAGACTCGGCAACGGTTGGATAAGATACCTCGAGTACATCTGTTTTCTTGTGCGATAGCGGTGCGTGGACGGGGAGTTATCGTGCTGGGTATGACTGCCCGAATGACGAAGAACAATGAAGGTACGAGTGCGAATTTCGTATTGGATCTACAGATTATTTCGGGTTCCACCGTGGCTAGAAGGGCCCTCCAACAAGAAAGTGTCCAGGAATAAGTGCCAACAAGTCGGCGGGTTCTTCGGACATGGAAGCGATCGGGTGCGAATTCAGGCATGCTTCGATTCTCGCCAAGAGCGTGGACAGCTCTTGAAATGTGTATTTGCGCGTGGCCGTGGACTTGACCGTAAAACAGGGTCTTAAAGCTCTTGACGCCTGCCTCCCACAGGCCTCCCATGTGGGCG